ATTGTAATGTTTACTCATAAACTGCCAAATTTCATTAACATGTGCTTACTAATTTAAAAGTTATAGCATGAAAACTATAACAAGCACAAAATGGTTACAAGGTCTGTCCCACGGACCGAGCCCGGGTTGAAAGAGTTAAACTCCACTAAATCTACTGCATCCACCAAACTGAAGGCAACCTATTTCAAAGTCCAATCACTCTGTTAGATAACTAAAAGTTTCTGAGATGAAGATGACTTTTTCCATGCCAACATTTACATTTGTATTTTCTTGTTTTACCATTCTCACCATCAAATGTGAAAAAAGATCTGCATCAAACTATCATTTCCCTTAATGATCTTGAGCTCCTCAGTTAGATCATCTCTAATTTTTTCAAGAGAAAACAAAGTTCTTAACATCTCCTAATATGATAACATTTGCATCTCAATATCATCCTAGACTAGTAACCCTCCTGAGGCCTTTCTTAAGTTAAAAAGCCCAAAACTGAAAACAATACTCCAAATACTAATTTAACTCATAAATAGTATATGTTAATGAGTAATACTGTTCCCACATTCATTTATTTCTTCTAGAAATTTGGAAAACCTAAAGATTTTTATCATTCATTTCACTGTAAACAGTAAAGAGTTTCAAAGTAATTCTACATTGTATATGTATTTCAGTTTGAAACAGTCATTTAAAAAAAATTTCTATCAGGTTGTTAAAAAACAATTGAAGAAAAAGTTGAAAGAGGAAGATAATGAAGAGATGGAATTAGAGGACTCTGAAGAATTGAATGAGTCAGGCTCAGAGGATGAAGAATCAGAGCTAGAAGATGAAGAAGACTCTGACTTGGAAGATGAAGAAGACTCCGACTTGAAAGATGAAGAAGACTCTGATAATAATGGTATGCTTAAAAAATGCTTATTAGTATTTTTTTGTACAAGTATGCATTGCATTTTAAAATTAATTTTTTTTAGTGATTGGTCCAGCCTTTGTCAGAATTCAAATTTTGGCCCATTACCAGGTAAACCTTCATCAGAAATTTCATTAATATAAAAAATCCAACAAGGATTCTGTCTTTAAAGCTTAATCAATTGGCCTTTTTTTCTTTTAAGTTTGTCCCTAAAGTAAATGAGAATTTTCAAAGTGTGAATAAAACTATAAATTATAGATCGATGTTTACTTTCATAGTTATTACACAAACAATAAAATTTTACAGTCATGTGGTTTAAAATTCACACCATGCAGAACAATAAACAAATAAGAAAATATTGTAGATAAGATAAATATATAGACATAAAAACATTTAACTTTTCAAGTTAATACTTTTTTTTAGATAACCTACCATTTTTAATATATCACTCAGATAAAAAAAGTAAAATTTGATTGTAATACCTGTTTCTCTTTCCTACAAAAATTCTAAACCATGTATTATAATTTTCCCAAGTATCAATGTTCTACTGTAAACACCCCACCAGTTTAGCCTTGTTTCCCAAATATAAAACACAGTTGTCCATCTGATTGTCTAGTGTCACAAGTTGTTTTAAGAAACTGGCTAACAGTTTTCAATGAAATTTGGATAGAGTTTAAATGATAATCAATTGGACTAATGGTTCAAGTTTTGTCAGCCATTTAACTTTTCCTATCTTAGTGTTGTGAATGATGGCTCAATTGAACAAAAAGGTGAATAGAAACATAAGTGAAACTTAATCCAAATTAAAGTGACAATGTCAAATGTACAGTGGGTACTTTTGCATCAGATAAACTGTTTTGTGCTATGGCTCATAGTAGTGAAAGTATCTCTCCTTCCAAGTTCAAATTACAACATTATTTTTAAGTCTTGTTTTTTTTTATCATTAAGTTTAAATATCTCTACTGTGAGACAACAGTTTTTATTTTTTATGTATATTTGCCATTAAATGTAAATATTTCTTGTATGAGAGAGCAATTCTCTTCTCTTTCAACCAATGTGTTTGAAGATCTGTATTATATGATAGATATATACACAGTATTATGATATCTTTTTCTTCTTTTTTTTTCAACCAATTTTTTTCCTGGCTAGTGTTTAAATCATCCTTTTTTCAAACTCAAGTTTCACTGAGTATGGTAATACTGCTACCACTACTTTTCAGTAGGTGATAATGATTATAACAGCTTTAAAAGTAGTTTTTACGGATAAAATGTTAAATAATGTAGAACTTAATGGCAATGGGTGCTTACCTAATGTTTGTGAAGTTTACACATGCAAATTACAGAAAAATGAGATGAACTGTGAGCATTTGACAAACTATAAAAGAACTGAAAAACATGAGTATGTTTCACATAAGTGGTAGTAAAAGATTTTCAATAAAGACGACAAACAACTTCAGATAAAAGTTTTTTATTCTATGTGATGTTTCATCTAACACCTTTTTCAAAGGTCTATGAATGTCACAGGTTAAACTAATGTCAAATTAAATTAACCAATAATAATTATTTTTGGTTACTATATTTTAAAATCAGTTTTGTAACTTGTGTCATTTATAGACTCTTGGGAAAGGTGTGAGCCTAAACGTCAGGTAGAATAAAAACACATTTATCTAAAGTTGTTGTTTTTTTTGTCTTTATTTTAAAAAATGGTTTTCTTCCTTCTGTCAGTACTGAAAACTTTAAAAAGTAATGGTAGTAAAAAAAGCTGCAAGATTTGCTCTCTTGCATTGAAAACTTTGTTTGTTTGAGTTTATTCTTTGCTTTATTTCCCATGATGTAAACCACATCATGCCTGTGAGCATTTAAATATGAAGTTAATATTAAGAAAATTATAAAACATTAAAAAGAAAAGAAATTAACCATGAAAAGGAGCATGAAATATTATCATAATGATAAAATTATATTTTACACTAATTTATTTTTTCTTTATAGTTCCCAAAAGGTATACCAGTTTGACATATCTTAGACCTGCAAAGGCATACCTATCATTATAAAAATGAATTTTAACTACACATAATGCTTTATGATTATTTCTGAACCACCAATAATATAGCCTCAGAGAATGTTTATTTAGTGAAATATGTTGTTAAAACATAAGATACATTATAATTAATACTCTTAATTAATGGTATATAATTCAATCCCACCTGTACCAAAATTCTTAGACATGAAATGACTTTTTTTTTAATACTCTCTAAATATATTCCAGATTTTGAGAATTTTCTAAGATTAAGATGAAAAATCAAACAGAGTAAAAAAAATTACCAACAAAAACCAATACACTAACTCACGAAAACAAACACTGATAAGCTCAGAGAAAAAAAAAAAATGGCACACTTAATGGAAATGCTCAAACCAAAAAGAAAAATAGTAAATGTTATTGAAGGTAGATATTCTAAAAGTTAGTTTACTTAGAAATAAAATGTAACAGTTTCCACAATTTAGATTTCAGGCATTTTGATTTCTGTTTCTTTTTTATATAACCCTACTACTGAATTAGCATAATATTAGAACTTATGTTTAAACTATTATTAGTAGTATTAATTATCAAGTAAGTTATTGTTGATGTATATCTAAGAATATTTTTAATCGGTTAATTACTGGTGACTAACTTATTTCAGACATTAATGGATTTTCATTAGTAACTGAACATTCTTAGAGAGGATTATAAAGTTTTGTATATACTGGTGTCATGATTTCCAAGAAAATTGGTGATAGTGCATGAACAACTAGTTTTATATGTTTTGTTACAAAGCTATATATCTTTAAATAAGTAGAAAAAAGTGAAAGTGAGAAAATAAAGAAATTAAACTTTTAGAGAAAAATCCCCTTTAAAAACTGGTAGTAATTTATTTACTTGGCAACATTTCAAGCTAGAAACAAGCCTGTCAGTTAATGACAATTACAGGACTGTTTTGAAATGAAATATTACATAAAAACAGAATGTAACAGAAGATAGAACTATGAGAATTAAACAATATAATAAAGCTGGTGGTTAAAAACAGTATTAAAATTTTTTTAGAAATATAGAACTACTTTGCATAGCAAAGAAATAAATAAATAAACATTTTAAGATATTAAAAAAAGAGTATTTAAAAAAATTATAAAAAGCTGAACCATTCATTAGTACCCAAAGGACTTAACCCAATTTAAGAATTATTTCTTTTTTTAATTGTGGTTCTTTTATTGGTGTTGGACAACACTAGAGATAATATTTATTAAGTCTGGTTTAATTGATGAGAGAACATTTTACTGTAAATCTGTATTTTGTTTTACTCTTACAAATTTTTTTCAAGTTATTGTTCTCTCCATTTTCAAAAGCATGATGAATAGTCATTTTATAATATATTGGGAGAATGAACGTTATTGGCTAGGGAGGAATCAACCACCGTGTTTACTTCTGGTAACTTTCTAATATTAAATAAATTGAATATTTGAGAACAATCAGGAACTCAAATACTTTGTTATTCTTATTATAGTGTTGTGACATATGATGAGAATTGGAAAGGATGGTGGCACTTTGTATTTAAAAAAGTATTTTGCACAGTTAAAATATATATATATATAATATTAACCTTAGATATAAAAAAATCTTGTTTTCCTTTCTTTGAAGACAAAGATGAAGAAAATGAAGATGGTAGAATGGGAAAAGCAGCTAAAGGCAAGAAATTTACAAAAAGTTGAGACTCCAACTAAAAGGAAATTGGAAGAAAAAGGTGAAACTGCAATTCAAAAGAAAAAAAACAGGATGGAAACCCGTGAAGTAAAGGTGGCAACTCCTGATTCAAATAAAAAAGGAATTAAGAGGAAAGGGCAAGAAGATGATATAGAGAATACAGTTGTTAAAAAAGCAAAACCCTTAGGTATGTCTGGGTTCTCATTAGGTTTTAAAGTAGGTGGTCCTTAAGACACTGGCATTGTAGTGAGGTGTGGGGGCAACTTTCTACGGGAAATTTTTTAATTTCATTCACCATGGAGGCCATTTTTCAACTATCTGAGATTAATGTAATTTCTTTATGAAAAATGTACAGTGTTTAGGGATTGTATAATTTTGTTGAGGTTAAATAACTCTCACTTTATATTTGCCATAACATCAGGAGCTTGTTAACTGCCTAAGACAGCATAGCATTTCAGTGATTGATCCCATACAGTAATTTATGACTCTTCCAATGAGATCAATGTAACTTAAGCATTGATGTCTTGCTTCTTTTATATTATGATAATTAGCAATAACAAACTTAAATCACATTTGCTATAAACTATGAGGCTAAACATTATAGCAAAAAACTTTTAACAGCAATGATTCAATACAATTTAATTATTAGTCTTAATGCAGTCAAAGACTTGGCAGTAGAGGTCTCACTGTTTTAAGTGTTATCTTCCTGGAATAATAAAAGTGTGTCCTTTCTACAGCAATTCATAACTTTAACATTTGCTTTATAGGTGATAATCTTACAATAGTTGTTAAAGTATATGATACATACACCTCTAGACATCTTGTCACACCTGAAGCTAAAAAACTATATTACTTGTCATATAAGCAGAGCTTGAGAAAACTTCTGAATGATCTCCTTACCAAAAAAATAAGCTAGCTTCTTTCATGCAGTTACATGCTAATATTCTGCAAATACTGATTTTTTTGTCCACTTCACACATTTGTGCAACCTATCTACTTGTTTTGAAAGTGTGCAGAAAATGTCTCTCAATTAAAGGTCATTTATGGTGTCACGAACTGTTAAATAGTTCCACTGTGGTAAAGAAAAATGAAAAGATATCTTTGACCATCCTTTCCTGGTCTGGAAAGGAGTAACGTTTACTTTGAAGATGAATCATTCAAGCAGTCTTTTCTGTATTGTATAAGATTATATACAGTCCATGGAAATTGTTAACACCAGTCATTTCAACTGTGTCTTGGCTACATAACCTACTTGCCAATTATTACGGAATTGTATTGATTTGGACTTCCTTTATGGCATTTTAATATTTATTGGAAATTAAAATTCTTCATTAGTTTTTTTTTCTTGATATTTCATTATATATTGCAAATGTTACTTCATATGCAAAAAAACGTACCTTTTTCAATGAAAAATTCACTAATATTTTCTAGATAGCAGGTTGCTTATTTTAACACCATTTGAACCTGGCATCCATGATTTGGTAAGCTCTGATTATAAATGTCTGGATATTCTATGGGAAAATTGTTTTGGGTCAGAAACCTTTATTCTGGGGTGAGAACATCACATGCTAACAAGTTTGTCAGCTTTCCATCCACTCTCACTGACCATTCTGTTTTTGTTACTGGACTTTAATACCAGGATTATCTGAGGTACAGTTCTCTGTTAGGGCTACACTAATGAGGTGTGTTGGTCAGCCTAGTTTGTTTCTGGTGTAGGTAAAGCCCCATTTTATTCTTAATCATAAATTTTTTTCTACTCGTATGATTTTACATTTAAACAAATATTTTAATATAAGTTGTTACTGCAAATTACACAGGCCTGCAAATTTAAACTTTATAAAAGTTGTTTTGTTTTTAATAATGGATTTTCATTTTCCATAATTCAGCTATACAGATTTTGAAAATAGTAATAATTTTTTCCATCACGTAAGGATTTTTTACAAATTTGGAAGAAATAGTCTCTTGGTTATATCAAATTTATCATAAATATAACAGGATATGCTTGGGTCATTTACACAACCTCTTGTTGCCATAACAATGAATAAATAACATTGAAAAGAAAAAATAATATCAAAGTGCACGCACAAACAAATACTATCCAGAAATGACATGTCATGTGGCCTGTTAACCATTTATATACTAATGGTTTGTTTCTCATTGGTTCTAGAATGATTGATAAGATTCTTACGTCTTGATTGATCTAGAGAAATCTATAGCTAGTGGTTGTCTACATTTTAAGCACAACAAAATGTGACCTGATTTCAATGAAAATGATTCACTTATGTAAAAGTACTTATGACTTTTATGAAAAATCTGTGTGCGATGGAGAAAAATGGATATCATTTTTGGATTCAGCGTACAGGAATTATTGTAGAACATGTAAAAATTTCTAGACAACAAAACCATTGCAGGCCTGTGTTATCTGTTCTCTTGTGTTTAATCCATGTAAGAGTAACAATATAGCATTCAATTTTTTTATTATTATTTTCAGATGATGAACTCAGAGCATTAACAGAGAAAAGAATAAGTAAGTAATTGGAAACTTGGCTATTTTTCTAATTGTGATAAAGTTGACTAACATTCTTCCTTGAAGCAAAATATTATAACATAATAATTTTCACTGACTAGAACATTGTAATTATATGTTTTGTAGTTTGTTAATGTCACTCGTTGATAAAATACTTCTCTTTTTTTTATGCCAATTTTTGGGTAATTTTTTTATTAGAGAAAGCTTGTACTCAACATATATTCCATTCACTATACTTCATCAATCTACTATTTCATGTATAATTAATTGACAGTAAATGTCCAGTCAAATAAGACAACAAACACTACAGTAAATCAAAATATATATATTTTTTAATTGTCATGGCATTACACAGTAGAATTTAAAGTATTAAGTACAAGTTTGTGATAATTATTTCAGTGTTGTAGCTATGGTGGATGGGGGTGGCCCCAGAACTCGTTCTACCTGCCCAGCACTCCCAGGGGGTATGGCAGCAGCCTCAGTCATGTGCATCTACAGGCTAGACTGTTTTTTTACCACCCACCACTGAAATCATCCTAGCTACTACTTTGAATTATTTTGCCTGTAACATTTATGAAACAATGCTATATAAACATTGAACAGGAATTGAAAAAACAAAGCCAATCTATCTTAAAACACAATCAATGCAACAAGTAAAATATGGTGTTCGTCAACTACCACAAAAACATGTATTTTATATACATGTATATATAATTATATTGATGACACTTTATGAGCCTCTCCAATGGCTCAGTTGTAAGTTTATAATGCCAAAAACTGGGTCTCTATACTTGTAGTAGGCAGAGCACGGATAGCTCATTGTGTAGTTTTGTGCTTAATGACAAACAAATGAACACTTTGTGAATTTTATTTTTGCTTTCATTTTTTTCCTGTGTTAGCAATATGAAATTGAACAATAGATAAGAACAGGAAATTGTGAAGGTTTAAAATTAACTAATCAATGAACTTAAACATTTTTTAATGTGCTTTCAGTGCCTTAACATCACATTTCCTCTTATAACAATAACTGTAATAGTATTTATAAGTAATACATTTAGCAAACATTATTACAATAAAGAAAAAGGTAAAAGTTTTAGTAACAGTTAATGGTATTTAATACAACCTTTAATACTGGTTTGGATTGCAGTATTTCTGGTTACACACTTTGTTAGACTGACACAAGAATATTATGCTACATTCAATGTTCAATAAAAGACTACTTACGAATGGGCTAGTTATTTTTCTAAACACATCTTTGTACTTTTTTCAAATCAGAAGAGTGTTTCAAACTATCTAGCTCTTTGTTTAGAAGTAGCACTCAGGTTTTCTTCAGTTTGCGGTGATACAGATTGTATATGTGAAACGTTTTTTTGTTGATACAGCGAACCTTCATTAGTCCTAATATCAGTATTCTGGATGATTTTTCATGGCTACATGATTCAGTAATCCATACATGACTTCATGAGAGTCAAGTAAGGATTGATCAGAACAGGAAACATGATAATTACAAACCACAAAATAACCTGCACTTGCAGTCGGTTTCAGTTTATGACTTCTTCTTCTTCTTTTTTTTTTATAAGCATCCTTAAAGCATGATATTTCTTTATACAAGAAAGCAGTAGATATACTGAATATTTTGTATTCTACAAGTAAGTCATTAGTTTGAACAAAATGATGATTTATGTGAGGATAATAACATAATATGCTACTTTGATTATACAGTTTGTATAATTAGTGGCAGTATATAAAATAATAAACAGCCAAGTTTATTATACATACAATTGCTTTTTTTTTACCAGATGCATGTTCACCCTTACTAATTTACGCCTTTACATTAAAGATCAATAATGCGTGTTATTAACAGTGTTTATTGTATTCAACATGACTGGTTTATTTATCTGGAAGAATTACTTTATTAATAATGCATTCATATTAACTCTTTCAGCATGGGCTCGATCCCTGGGATAGACCTCGTAATCATTTTGTGCTTGTTATAGTTTTCATGCTATAACTTTCAAATTAGTAAGCAAATTTTAACAAAATTTGGCAGATTATTGGTAAACGTTACAATGCTTTCATATGCAAAATATCAAATTTTTTTATT